TCAAAAGAACTCACAAGCCAACTGGAAGAGGAGAGGCTCTCACTGGTCAAAAATGGGTAAAAAATTCTGAACAATAGTAAGATTAATAAGTGCCATGGACTGAAACACATACAATACATTAAAAACTCAATGTTTACCTAGCTAATAAATAAAATACAAATGATAAAATCAGAACATCACCATTTTATAACCTACAATAAAATATTGACTCTAGGCAATTACCAATGTCTGCTAACACCAAAGAGACACCAGCAATTAAGGGCCTCCTGACAGAAGTATATCATTCACTCTCTATAAAGTGTTCTTGACAAAAAATGTATTTGTGTGTGTTGTGTCTGTGTGTGAGTGAATCTGTGTATCTCAAATCTGAAATCAGGTGAAAACTCTAGATTTGCCTACCAATCTCCAGAGCAGTAAATTAAGTGACAACAAATTCTAGGTAATAGGAAATTGCATGAGATAGATGACAGTTTTTCAACACATAAACTGTAAGGGAGTAAAAAGTGGCACAAGACACCTAGCGTAACAGGCACTTTAGTCCATTTTACACTGCTATAACAGAATGCCACAGACGGAGTGATATATGACGAAGAGAGCTTTATTCGGCAAACAGTTCTGAAGGATAGGAAGTCCAAGAGAATGGCACCAGTATCTGGAGAGAGCCTTTATGCTGTAGTATTGCATAGCAGAAGGCAGAAGGGCACAAGAGGGCAAAAGTGTGCAAGAGAGCAAAAGGGGGCCGAGCTTGCTTCTACATGAACCTGACTCACAACTACAATCCATTCCCACAATAACAACATAATCCACTCAGGAGGGCACAGTCCTCACAACCTGATCAACTCTTAAAGATCCCACTTGCCAAAACTGTTACATTAAGGATTAAGTTTCCAACACATGACCTTTGGGGAATATATTCAAACCATGACCACAGGGATATATGAATCAATGGCAATTCATGAACCTAATTTCAACGAACAATTTATCAATCAATAAAAAAAATATGTGGATATGTATGTGTTTCTATATATATAATATAGACATGTATATATACATGTTTGTGTGTATACATGTCTATATATGTATGTGAACTACAGCATTAGACGATATTAAGAAATAGCTGATTTTTTTAATATGATGATGACATTGTTTTAAAGGAAAAAGACTCCTTATCTTCTAGAAAAATATACTGAAATATTCACAGGTGAATTGATACAATACATGGGATTTACTTCAAAATCTGGAGGCGTGGTGAATGAAAGGAGAACTGAGTGACAGTGAGTTGAGATCAGTTTGAATGATAGGCATATAGGCATTTATTGTAACTATCCTCACTACTTCTATAAAAGACTAAAGTTTTCTGTAAAAAAGTTTAAAAAGCATATGAGCATAAGGAACAAAAAACAACGTAACTAATATTAACAAGCTGATGACAGAACACTGATATCAGACTATACATTCTAACTTAGGAGGCCATCATGATCACCTCAGGAGCTTTATAAAAATACAGTCTTTGAACCACCACTATCTTAATGAACCTCAAAGGCTGAAGGAATTGTGCCATTTCCCTCAGGACTGCAGAAGTGAGGAAAAGAGGTTGAGAACCACTGTGTAAACACTTTAAAGGTATAGAATATATATTATTCACCCAGTATTTATTTCAATGCCTAACACTTAAGAAGCACTTAAGAAACATAAGATGAATTAATTAATGATCCACAGATGTGCAAATGAATAGGCAAGCTTAACAGTAGCTAATTGATAGATGTGAAAAAAATCATCAGTCATATTTGATATTTTAAAAAATCACTCAGGTTATAGAGTTTAAAGAGTATGGCTCTCTGTTTTGAGTGGAATGGGTTTCCTTCACAAAGCCACAGACTAGTCACTTCAAACAGCTACAAGTAAACACCCAGAGTAAAAATAGTTTTAAATACACAATTGGGTGGGGTGTGGCTAGAAAATATTCTGATTCTACAATCTGTTTTGGACAAGACAGGGCTTCTTATGTGACTAACAAAGCAAACAGCAGTCAGATTCCTTGTGCTGAAATAAGTACACTATTTGCAAAAAGGGTTGAATGTCTAAGGCTTATTCAATAAGGACACCGCATTTTCCAAAACTAAAGGGGAGTATAGAATGACAAACACCCACATATATTTACATATCCCTAAAAGAGGACATACAACCTCCCAGTATGGATTTTTCTGTGTCTCTAGTAAGTACTAACTGGAGCCAAGTCTACCGTCTGACCATGGAGAACAGTAGAATACCTCAAGCACAAGAACAATCTAATTTTAAAACTTGGAGGAGCTTAGAAACCACCTAGTCCAAACTTTCCATTGTGTTGATTAAAAAACAGACATCCAGAGAGGTTAAAGTAAAAGGCTCTGAAAATTGTTGCAATAGCCACAGATGAACAAATGGCATACATGGGGGCATAATGCTATGTATTAAGAGCTGAGAATTAGTCTTCTGAATGTTCACATGAATGATAATTAACAGGGTATCACTCTCAATTATAAGCAAATGGGAGTATGTGTGTGCATGTGTGTCACCATATATACACACAAAATACTAAAACATATGTTTTTAATAATTCCTTTCAAAACAAATTCTTCAACCTAGCATTCAAAAGCATCCACAAAGTTACCTCACTTACTTTTTCAAAATTGTGTCCAAATGAACCATAAGCCAGTAGAAGGCAGGTGTTTTCTCACACTTACCTTTTGTAGTCTCCTACAGATGTAGTAGAGTACATATTATAATTACAAAAGCTATTCCATATATAATTTCCAAATGACAAAAGAATGATTATAATATAAACTTTCTTATTCTGTTATTCTGAACTGCTATAAGACACATATCTTATACGTATCTACGAGTATTATACAGAGACATATATAACAATGTAGATTTTTTAAAATATGGCAGTCAATAAAAGGCTTAAAAGTGACAGGACAGAGGCAATGAGATGCCTTATCCATTTACATTTCCATAAAGGGCAATACAAGGCTCTGTTTAAAATACAGAAAGTTGCTTGTAGGGGAGGGAAAGGGAAAAGAAAAAGGACAAATCTTTATTTCATTCACTGGTCAAACTTTCAATTATTTCAATTATTGATGAGTCCCGAATTCATACTACTTTAATTCTGTGGAGGTAGAAAAATGATGTGGCTATGCCTGTGTAAGGAACTGTCCTTCTCAACCAGTTCACTTGTATAGTCAATTTGATTTTGATTCAAAATGATGAAATTAAAAAATAAAAAATTTGGACTCTCAACTTCCCACCTTTATTAGACTTTTTAGGATCCTAAAAACTTATTTTAAAGGTTTCCTAACATTGTTAAACAGACTCTAACTACCGAAATTAACAACAATAATGTTTACTTCCATCTTTGAGGAAAAAATATTTCTAATTGGGATGATTCCCAAAGGAAACTGCAAGTTAAGCCAATGATTTTTTTTTTAAACTGAAAGCCAAGTTTGAAGATTTTTTTCTCCTGAAATAAACACAGCAATCTTATGTCAATTAACATAATATGAGATTATCAAATTAAGGGGTTTTTGCAAACTCTACTGCAACTCTAAAGTAAATCCGAATTTAAGCAAGAAAATCTGAAGTCATTTACTGAATATAGCATAGTGTTGTGAATGACGGATTTAAACCCTTCAGGATAATCATATTGCTAACTCAACTATCAAATTCACTCTACTATTCAAATTTTCCCTGTCTGAAAAATTTGAAGTATTTAATATGCTATATTTTAAATTTCTCTTATTAACTTCTGAAGGCTTACACTAAAATTCTGATATGCAAAACAGCATATCTACATTTTCACCATTTTCTTTCTTTTGCGTAAGCCTAAAAGTAATTAAGAATTGGGGTCGGCTATTTTCACAAAAATTTATGAACATTAACAGACACATTGATAACTTTATGTAATAACTCAATAATTTAGATGACAGTTTAAATCCACTACCCCTTTCAAGGAATTCTTTATCTGCTTTTACGTACTACCAAATATTATATAATATCAACCAAACAACATAAGAATGTGCTTTTCAAAAATAAAAAGGGGGTATCATCATTCTATCATGAACCAGCCTAAACACTAGAGTAATAACTAACAAAATAAAATCACAGAAAAAGATAGTCTCTGGTTAAAACGATTAATATATATTTAAGACAAAGGGTTTATTTTTCAACAAGAAAACAAGGAAAAGGAGAGCCCAGCCTGATCTTGTGTGTCTGCCCAATAGAACTTTCCACCATAATTAGTGCTTACCACCTTTGAGGGGAGGAGCTTAAGCTCAGGGTAACCTCATGTAGCAAGAGAAAAGCAGTATAAATACCACTGAGAAGGTCTGGAGAGGCACCTTCTGCACTGCTCACCTGGGCAGAGGAGGCTTCAGAAAGCTGCCAAGGCACCATCTCCAGGAACTCCCAGCACCCAGGTAAGTGTATGCTCACTGGCGGACTTCCATCTTAACTTGCTTGGAAAGAAACTTCAGTAATTTAAGTACTAGAGTTTTCTCAAGCTTTAGAAGTATTAAAGTGATTTTTAAAAATGGGTTTCTACTAAAATGCACTCAGAAAGTTCTTATTGCATCAGTCTATAGATAATAGTCCTAATAAAACCAAATTGTAAAAATTTGCCCTAATCTGAATTTCAGTGTATTTTGAAACTATTAGATATTTCAGCCTATGTCAAAGATCCTCGATTATTTAATACAGACATCCAATCCTAATTTCTGTTTCTTTTGCTTTAGGTACATCATTTTATTTTTACTTGATTACCTGAGTATAGCTTCCAAAAATAACTAAGACATATATTCACATAACTAAAAAATGATCTCTCATTTATTTATGGCACATATAAAAAATATATAGGATAGGTTAAAAAGGTAGATAACTGTATAAAGAACTCATCTGTGAAACATGAGAATAACAAAATAGGTTAATAACAATGCTGTATAAAGTTATTCTTTTCTGTTTTTCAGAATCCATCTGAGAATATGCTGCCACAAATACCCTTTTTGCTGCTAGTATCCTTGAACTTGGTTCATGGAGTGTTTTACGCTGAACGATACCAAACGCCCACGGGCATAAAAGGCCCACTACCCAACACCAAGACACAGTTCTTCATTCCCTACACCATAAAGAGTAAAGGTAAACTGAATTGCATATTTTGTTCTATTAACAAGTTGGTTGCTGCTTTCTATAATCTTAATAATCTCTTTTACAGAATGCATTTAACTTCGGTGTTATTTTCAAACTTCTGAATTAGCCCAGATTATTACAACAAAGTGATCTGTGAAAAAAGTAGAATAAGAATATCCAATAATTGCAGTAGAAAGGATATACTTGAAAATATAGTAGAAAGATATACCTGCAGAAAATTAAGAACTTTTGTGTGTAGAAATCTTTTTCTCAGATGCTGTTTTTGCACAAATAACTGCATGTAATCCAGAAATCCTGATCTAATCAAAATTAATCAAGTTTAAAAATTTTAAGCTAAAAATAACTGCCAATTGTACAAAGAAGATAGCTGGTTTATTTAGCTGAATACTTAAACATTTACCTTCAAAACTAATTCAACTAGCTCACAAACAGACATAAAACTGAGTCTTATCAAAAACATCTGATGCCCACCCCAACAATGACCAAATGTAATTATGAGAATTGTCAAGCAGGCAAATGAAACTGCAATTCTCATAATTACTTATACATTTTTAATACAGTTTAGTGGTAAAATGCAGAGACTTAACTATAATGCACAAGTCCTCCCATGCCTTAGTTTCCTCATTTGTAAAATAAGGAGCAGCTATCTCAAGGGCTGCTGCGAAGTTTAAATGAATTAATACCTGTAAAGTGCTTTAAGCATTGCCATTACTTCTACTACTACTTCTATCACTCCTAGTTTTACTTCTGCTACTTTTAGCTACTAATATAGCCTTCAATAAGTTAACTTTCTTCTTGAATCTGCTGCTTATCTGTCCATCTTTCTCGGTTACTCTTTGAAGAGTACTGAGATAATACATGTAAAGCACTAAGGTTCTCAAAGAAGAGCAACTTCTAGGCCTCATATTCACTAATTTTATTTAATAGCAACTGACATGACTACCTATAAAATATCTACTGAATGATATAAACTAACTGTAGGCTTCAAATTCCCTTTCCATAATATTTTTAGTTATATATTTTACATTGTAAACAAAGCTAAGGATATTTGTTATAAACTTTAAATATTATGCTTTTGGGAACAACCATTTTGAGCAAATGAAACTTATAGAATTATCTTTTTAAGAAGAAAGATGGAATTTAAAATATTTCACAAAAGGAAACAATATTTGAAAATAAATGCATAGGTGTACAACAGATACTTTTGAATGTCTCAAAATATAAATAAAAATTTTAAAAGTTAAAAGCCAGTAAAGAAAAAATAAAAGATAAAGGGACTTTCTGCTTTACTTGACACAACAAACACAATTTGAAATGCTATGACAAATAGCACTGCACTGGATTCAATAGTTTCTATGATCACAAATTCAGACTTTTTAATACCTTAATAAGAGCATAATAAACAGTCTTGAATTAAAAAGAAAATGCACTATTTTAGAAGGTTAAAAATACTTTGATCTTCTCTTAATATACTCCGTTATCTTGGCTATTTTTGCAGAACAAATGAAAATATCTTAACAAACGAAAAGTTCAGGAGCTGTATTTAAACTACTAAATCCACCTTAGTCTCTTTTTAGATGGCCACTCAACTACATTATCATCCATTGGCAGGCATTAATGCACTGTAACAAACACAAAAGCCCACAGTCTACACAAGTAAAACATTAAGTTGATAAAAGAAATTCAAAGAGTTACTATATAATTCCTAGGCATATCTATCCAACACAGGTTAAAAAAGAGTTCTGTCAAAACATACTAAATTATACTGCAGAGGATTCCACAGCCGGTGGGCAGATGCACCTGCCACATTCTGACACAACCAATCACAATTTCAGTTTGTGGCATTTAAACAACTTAATAGTAGTAAGTAGTCACTTTACCTTGAGGATTGTGCCACCCTAATCTTGAATGAAGAAAAGTTTTTCAGATGACAACCTAGAAACAGGGGCTGTTCCCCAAGCACTCAATAGATGTCAAATTCTTTCTCGCACTGAGAAATTAAGGACCCATTAAGGACAACCTTCCAAGTGACGAAGTTCGCCCTGTCACTGGAGTTCTAGCCTCGGATGATGCCCAATGCACTCATTTCCATTGACTTGTTTCTCCTCTTTAACAGTAAAACAGATTTCCAATCAGACTAAGACAATTATTTTTAGTGTGAACATGACCTTTATAATCAGATTCTGAAGCAAACCTCAATCTAACATAGTTGGCATTTTAAAAAATGCACTATTTTATTCTTCCAACCCATTAAAAAATTCCATATTTGCAATATGTCAACATCCACTTATACATAATATAGTCATGTATGTACTCTACAATCAATGAAATATTTGTTAATATATGGAAATCTTTTACATAAATTAATTTTTCTCACAGTCTTTTTCCTGATGTCATTTTCTGAAAATCCGTGGGGAAAGCTCTATGTATTTATTAATAAATGTTTTCAAATTGAAATATAACTCTAAGTAGTACAAAAAAAACCTACATCTAAAACAATTATTTTTCTATTTCGGCATATCTGTTTTAATGATTTGCTCTGCATTTATATACACCAAATGTTTTCCAAATCTCAGAAACATCTTTACCCTGTGCTTTCCCCATACTTGTGGCCCAGTAGCATTTTTCACATCACAGGCACTATGATTTTTAGTTTAAGTTTAGTTTATCAGGTCAAGTGAACTTACAGCTCTATGAAATCAAACAATATATATTTGTATTTAGGTAAGTACTTTAATACTATTTTATGTACTTCACCCATTGTGTCTAATTCTGTAGTTCTTTGTTTCAATTTTAAGTCAATAATGGAGAGTAGAAGAGTTCACAGTATATTCTGAGGCAAAAGTAAATCAACCAAAATCTAACCTGTGTTCAGCAGGGGCATGGCAGATATAAATCAGAATTAATACTGTTTCTCTTTTATGTCTGACAGGGTAGCTTTGGGAGGGAAAATTTTTATAGTTCTTAAACATTTTCTCACTTATTCTGCACTACTCTTTTTCTGCCTTTTCTGTACATGATTTTCCCAAAACAAATGTACTAAATTTACCTCCACTGCATTTATTTTAGAGGAATTCTTCAATCCCAGCTCATTTTCATGAGTCACTGTCATGGGATAAAAGTATTATGGTGGCCATGGTTTTGTGAAACCATCTTCTCCAGCAGAGTTTTTTAAAACAATATAAAACATATAATCTAAAACCATTTCAGACTGTTCTATCTACATGGAATAAATGACGCTGAAATATCATGTCCCAATTCATATTTAATGTCACTAACCATCCCCTTCTATGGGTGGGTGTGTTGGGTGTGTCTTTTAGGTATAGCAGTAAGAGGAGAGCAAGGTATTCCTGGTCCACCAGGCCCTGCTGGACCTCGAGGGCACCCAGGTCCTTCTGGACCACCAGGAAAACCAGGCTACGGAAGTCCTGGACTCCAAGGAGAGCCAGGGTTGCCAGGACCACCGGGACCATCAACTGTAGGGAAGCCAGGTGTGCCAGGACTCCCAGGAAAACCAGGAGAGAGAGGACCATATGGACCAAAAGGAGATATTGGACCAGCTGGCCTACCAGGACCACGGGGCCCACCGGGACCACCTGGAATCCCTGGACCAGCTGGAATTTCTGTATCAGGAAAACCTGGACAACAGGGACCCACAGGGGCCCCGGGACCCAGGGGCTTTCCTGGAGAAAAGGGTGCACCAGGAGTCCCTGGTATTAATGGACAGAAAGGGGAAATGGGATATGGTGCTCCTGGTCGTCCAGGTGAGAGGGGTCTTCCAGGCCCTCAGGGTCCCACAGGACCACCGGGTCCTCCTGGAGCGGGAAAAAGAGGTGAAAATGGGGTTCCAGGACAGCCAGGCATCAAAGGTGATAGAGGTTTTCCAGGAGAAATGGGACCAACTGGCCCACCAGGTCCCCAAGGCCCTCCCGGGGAACGAGGGCCAGAATGTATTGGGAAGACAGGAGCTGCTGGAGCCCCGGGTCAGCCAGGGATTCCAGGAACAAAAGGTCTCCCTGGGGCTCCAGGAATAGCTGGGCCCCCAGGACCTCCTGGCTTTGGGAAACCAGGCTTGCCAGGTCTGAAGGGACAAAGAGGACCTGCTGGCCTTCCTGGGGGTCCAGGTGCCAAAGGGGAACAAGGGCCAGCAGGTCTTCCTGGGAAGCCAGGTCTGACTGGACCCCCTGGGAATATGGGACCCCAAGGACCAAAAGGCAACCCAGGCAACCATGGTCTCCCAGGCCCTAAAGGTGAGACAGGGCCAGCTGGGCCTGCAGGCTACCCTGGGGCTAAAGGTGAAAGGGGTTCCCCTGGGTCAGACGGAAAACCAGGGTACCCAGGAGAACCGGGTCTCGATGGTCCTAAGGGTAACCCAGGGTTACCAGGCCCAAAAGGTGACCCTGGAGTTGGAGGACCTCCTGGTCTCCCAGGCGCTGTCGGCCCAGCAGGAGCAAAGGGAATGCCCGGACACAATGGAGAGGCTGGGCCAAGAGGTGCCCCTGGAATACCAGGTACTAGAGGCCCTATTGGGCCACCAGGCATTCCAGGATTCCCTGGGTCTAAAGGGGATCCAGGAAATCCCGGTCCTCCTGGCCCAGCTGGCATAGCAACTAAGGGCCTCAATGGACCCACTGGGCCACCAGGGCCTCCAGGTCCAAGAGGCCACTCTGGAGAGCCTGGCCTTCCAGGACCCCCTGGGCCTCCAGGCCCACCAGGTCAAGCAGTCATGCCTGAAGGTTTTATAAAGGCAGGCCAAAGGCCCAGTCTTTCTGGGATGCCTCTTGTTAGTGCCAACCAGGGGGTAACAGGAATGCCTGTGTCTGCTTTTACTGTTATTCTCTCCAAAGCTTACCCAGCAATAGGAACTCCCATCCCATTTGATAAGATTTTGTATAACAGGCAACAGCATTATGACCCAAGGACTGGAATCTTTACTTGTAGGATACCAGGAATATACTATTTTTCGTACCACGTGCATGTGAAAGGGACTCATGTTTGGGTAGGCCTGTATAAGAATGGCACCCCTGTAATGTACACCTATGATGAATACACCAAAGGCTACCTGGATCAGGCTTCAGGGAGTGCCATCATCGATCTCACAGAAAATGACCAGGTGTGGCTCCAGCTGCCCAATGCCGAGTCAAATGGCCTATACTCCTCTGAGTATGTCCACTCCTCTTTCTCAGGATTCCTAGTGGCTCCAATGTGAGTACACCCCATAGAGCTAATCTAAATCTTGTGCTAGAAAAAGCATTCTCCAACTCTACCCCACCCTATAAAATGCATATGGAGGTAGGCTGAAAAGAACATAATTTTTATTTTCTGATACAGATTTGAGCTATCAGACTCACAACCCTTCCCCCTGAAAAGTGAGCAGCAATGTAAAAATGTATATGAAGCCCCTCATGAATTTCTAGTCAGCAGTCTTAAGGCTCTTTAAGGTTTTCTCCAATATTTATCACCAAAGAAGTCCTGCTACGTTAAAAAACAACAACAACAGCAAAAACAAACAAACAACCATTATTTAAAAAAAAAAAAAAAACAGAAATAGAGCTCTAAGTTATGTGAAACTTGATTTGAGAAACTTGGCATTTCCTCTTTAAAAAAGCCTGTTTCTAACTATGAATAAGAGAACTTCTAGGAAACATCCAGGAGGTATCATATAACTTCATAGAACTTAAATACTTGAATATTCAAATTTAAAAGACACTGTATCCCCTGAAGTATTTCTGATGGTGCATTACTCTGAGGCCTGTATGGCCCCTTTCATCAATATCTATTCAAATATACAGGTGCATATATACTTTTTAAAGCTCTTACATAAAAAAGCCCCAAAATATTGTATTGAAGTTCATCTGAATTGCAAGGTGCTTTTGTCATGAATCTTTACAAACTTTTCTATGATTGCAGAGAAGTTTTTTATATACCCAGCATAACTCGGAAACAGGTATCTGACCTATTCTTATTTATTTAACACAAGTGTGATTAATTTGATTTCTTTAATTCCTTATTGAATTTTATGTGATACGATTTTCTGGATTCACAGAACATTAGCACATGTACCTTGTACCTCCCATTCAAGTGAAGTTATAATTAACACTGAGGGTTTCAAAATTCGACTAGAAGTGGAGATATATTATTTATTTATGCTCTGTACTGTATTTTTATATTGCTGTTTAAAACTTTTAAGCTGTGCCTCACTTATTAAAGCACAAAATGTTTTACCTACTCCTTATTTACGATGCAATAAAATAACATCAATAGATTTTTAAGCTGAATTAATCTGAAAGCAGCAATTTGCTGTTCTCAACCATTCTTTCAAGGCTTTTCATTGTTCAAAGTTAATAAAAAAGCAGGACAATAAAGTGGTGGGTGGCTTTTACAGTTGTCATGGATATGTCCCTCTGTTGGGGATGCATCTTTATTCCCACAGACCCAACCACTCAGTGTTGACTGTGAAGAGGTACCCACAAAATCACATGCAATCTGAGTCAGGGTCAAGGGCTGATGACTAGGGACAGAAAAATTACACAATCACCCCAAAGTTATAATTTTCTCCTGGGAGGGAAAGAAGCAGGTGACAGAGAAATATGCAGTTTGAACAAATATTCTGCAGTTACTATTTATTGTCTTGACATGTTTTTAGTTATAATATTTAAAATTGTTTTGATGGCTTGAATTATACTTTAAAAAGGCAAGCAATTTTTTATGTCAATCAAAAGGCAACATTTTTTCCAAGCTGAAAAATACTACTTTTGAGCATCCATCATCCTATTAGTTGAATCAGGACAATGTGGCTCAAGTCACTGAGGTAACATACTATAAAGGCATCTATGTATTCCTTAGAGAAGCAATCTTGTATAATCCAAGCAAAGTTGTGATTGGAATGGCAAAACTCTGGGCTCAAGACTGATGACATCTCTGCCCTCATTCTGGGTCAGCCAGTTTTGTTCCTTAAGCAACAAGAACAAAATTTCTGCTGGCAGACATTTTGCCCACCTGTCTATAACTACTACACTAATGATTACAAGTCACCAACCCTCATGCCCAAACCAGGAAAAAGCAAAACTGGACTTCGATTCTAGAGAACTCACAGACTGACCCTCGTGGCAGGCATGGTAAAAGAGAGTGTAACAGCATAGCTTGGAATATGGGCAATTATAGCCATGAAATCAGCACAAATAAAAGGACCTCTGAAAATGTAGGCAGAACCAACTTTATAATAATATTTAAGCTCAAATTAAATCCTAAGTAAGATACACAGCAAAGTACCTGCTTTCCAACTAATTCACTAGACAAACATAGTTTAACAAACATGTATTAGAAGGCCCCTCTTCACGATACTCACCCTTAAAAGCTGACATTTTATAATTGTGTTGTATAGCAGCAACTATATCCTTCCAAAAATCAAATGTTTTTTGACCATTGTTCTGCTGAAAAACAATTCCAAATGTAACAAATGCAATAATTCAGTTTTTAAGCATAGTGAAAAATGCTGGCAAACAATTACAATGCAGACAGTCCCTGACTTAAGATGGTGAGACTTACAATTTTTTTATTTTATAATGGTGCAAAAGTGATAAACATTCAGTAGAAACTTAACTTCAAGTACCCATACAACCACTGTTTTTCACTTTCAGTACAGTATTCAATAAATTACATGAGCTTTTCAATACTTTATTATAAAATAGGCTTTTTTTTGATAACTTTGCCCAACAGTAGGCTAATGGAAGTGTTCTGAGTATGTTTAAGACAAGCTAGGCTAAGCTATGATGCTCAGTAAGCTAGGTGTATTAAATGGATTTATAGTATTTTTGACTTAACAATGGGTTTATCAGGAAAAAACCCCATCATAAACCCCATCAAAGTTAAGGAGCATCTGTATTACTATATTCTGACAGAAGTTTATATTTTAGAAAACATAATAAAGTTATCATTCTTCTAAATGTGATTTTTAAAAAGAAATCTTCCATGAAAACGACTGCTACATATACACATACATATCCCTAAATATTAATATAGCTCATAGAGCCCAAATTAAAAAAAAATTTCCACTCATTATAAAGCCTAAAAATTATAGAATATTTTTTAAACACAGCAAATTCACAGTGTTATATAACTTCTGGGATATCAGAATGTGTTATATAACATACTATGGCATCAATGGGACTAAGAAAACTGACATTCTAAAACACCAAAAGCTAGTTACTTTAGAATTCAGTGCACACTTAACCTGAATTTTAATGTGAAAGAGCTGTAAGTCTCAATAGAAGAGATGAATGAGGTTCCAAATCCAAAATGTAAATTGTTTTCATTAAGATTTTTTTTTAATCAGAAAGCAAATAAACATTACATTAAAATAAACAAACCTACGATCCTTTGCTTTCTTGGAAACGTTAACCAGTGACCTATCTAAACAAAGACAGACTACTAGATATTTATATCTAATTATACAAACTCCAAAATATTTAAAGACTGACAGCTTTGCTTGTAGTAACTACCAAAGGAGAAACTGACTCCATCTTGTGTTAATAAAGAGTTCTATAAACATACCCAAACTACTGATCAATGGAAACTTTCACAATGCATAAATGTCATTCTGATTCACAAATAAAGCATTACTGTGCTCTATTATAAAAATGATGATGATGATTATTATTATTATTTTTGAGACGGAGTCTCACTGTGTTGCCCAGGCTGGAGTGCAGTGGCGCGAACTCGGCTCACTGCAACCTCCACCTCCCAGGTTCAAGCAATTCTCCTGCCTCAGCCTCCCTAGTAGCTGGGACTACAGATGCACACCACCACGCCTAGCTAATTTTTGTATTTTTATTAGAGACGGGGTTTCACCATATTGGCTAGGCTGGTCTTGAACTCCTGACCTCATGATTCACCCTTCTTGGCCTCCCAAAGTGCTGGGATCACAGGCGTGAGCCACTGCACCTGGCCCCGAAAGTAGTTATTTTTAAAAGACATATGCATAAAGGAAAGTGATTCTGACAGATAAATCTGTTTTATGCTCATAGGTCTTAAGTCGTAAGTATAAACTAGTATAACCAGAGATCTATTTAATCTTGATATACAGTACAAAAGAAAAAATTTATATTCATTAAATGATGTTCAAAATGGTGAATTTTAAAATTTCATCCAATTTTTCTGCTTTTATAGTATTTAGAATGCTTAAAGACATGCTGAATTTTCTTAATCACCTTTAACTTTTTATTTTGCTAATGAAACTATTTATTTTGCTAAAGAAAATGTTTTGTCCAGATGCAAGTTCTGTATTTATTTTCTTTTCCTAAACTTTTGCACCCTCTGCTGGAGAACAGGTTTATTTTTCCTGAGAGGAAAAAAAAGGTCACTGCTATTTAATTTTCCAAAAATATTTTAAGCAAATTCACCATGTTTTTCTTTCCCAGTCACCTCTGAAACCACAAAGAAGAAACTAAGCAAAATCACAACTCAGAAGCAATATATAATTAGGTCCTTCAATTTATGACTGACTACATATCATAGTTTTAAAAAATGAGCCCCCACTTACTTTTGTTAAATAGTCCACCACCCTGGCACATAGAAGAGCTCCTGGCAGGTCAAAGTAGTTGTCGTAAAAATAATACTTTCCTGAAAAAGAACAAAATTTTAAACTAGGAACAACATAATGCTACATGTATGTGAAATACACAAGAATATGGCTGAAGAGACACTAGATTTTGGTTTAATTATCTGAAGAAGCCTCCATTTCAATTCAAAATGGCACCATTATTGGCTGTCACTGTTTTTTAAGAAAGATTTAAGCTCTGAGGGCACCACAAGAAAGTTAAAATATGGTATCTTGAAGCATTGTATTCGAAGATATTTTAGTCATCTTAAAGAACGTAAAAACTAAAAAGGCTATATGCAAAAAATAAAATAGAATATGAAAAAGCCATATGATGTTATCTACGTCACTGAATTTCAAAACAATCAATTAACCTAACCCTGGAGTACCACGAAGTGCTCTACACAATAGTGCTTTTTCAGATTGGTTGGCTGACCCCACCTAGACGACCGCATTCTATTTTTATGCCATTTAAGACATATTTCAGTATAATGTGAAAAAAAACTGTGGTGAGAAGTAGAATATAACCATGCCATGTGAAGACACAGTGTGCTTATCTTATAAAAACTGTAGAGTGCAGGACAGGCACATTCCAAGATTTCGTGGAAGAGAGGGATTTGGTTTATTCTGTATGACCGTAGGGTAGAATTACATTTGAGCCCTTCTTTGGCACATGTGACTTTTGGATCTCCTGTCCCTAAACAGACACTTTTGATGACCCATGTCACATTCCCCGGCCCACGTCTGATTTCAACCACCACTATGCTAACAGCACCATCCCACCTTGGCACAACTGTGTCATTCTCTTTCTCCTAAAGGCTCTGGAGCCCATGTGGCCAACTTCACACTTGGAACAGATTCAGGAACCAGTAAATGAATGCCCTGCTTTCTGTTTCATGGACAGACAACTTTGGGAGGTATTCTCTGCACTTCTCCTTGGAAATCCCAGTACAGTCCAGCAACCATTGTTCCTTTTATGTCTTACCCTCTCATTCCCTCACTCCTGACTACTGGGATCAAGAATAACCACTCTGCTTCTGAGGGAACCCAACCTCATAGAGTTCCCTAGAGAATACCTGACACAAAGAAGAATCAAACAAAACCAATAGGTAAAGCCAGATTTTACATTAATAATAAGGTGCTTGAGTACATCATTATAATCGCCTGATTTTGATTCCCACGTCCTCTCATTTGTAAGCTATGTATATGAGGTTACGGAACACACTTGTCTTGTTCTTTAGTGTTGACTAGGCACCGTGTTCAGCATATTCTAACCACTCAATAGATGTTTGCTGTATGAATGAATGAATGAGTAATCCAATAATCAAATAGATTACTTTGGAATGCAGAAGTATTATAAGGAAATTAGAAGAAAACCATATGCAGAAGCCAGGGTTCTGTTCCTCTGAATATTATTTTGTGCCTCTTACTTCTTCCTGTAAATTTATTTTAAAATGTATTAAAAAACCCCAAAGTTTTCTTTTTGTTAATTCACAAAATGGCTGTGTCAGTTTTTGTCCATTCCCTCAGTTAAAAATATTTTGGTTGATACAGTCTTCCTGTTTTTCACTCTTTCACAGCTTATATTGTTAGGGGAACCTCTCAGGCTCTTTTTAATTCCTAAGAAAGGTTAGCATGGCTTTGCCGGTGTGAAGAACCAGTGATCTGGAAAAAAAGGAAGATGATATGCCACGTGCTTTTCTGCCTCTGCTTTGCTATGCTGTAAGACTATATGACACTCGAGGACTCCTAAGACTTAGGACAGTGGGCAAAGCTTCCCAAGGTTCATTAATCTGCACTTTGTCATATCTCTTGGCCTGACACTAGACTGACCCAACTTCATGGCCAGCTATCTCAAGCACTGTTGGAACAGGAAGCATCCCAGCATTGCCAGTTACATAACCTTGTTTTTCTCCTCCCATTCTTCTTCCTTTGTGGGTACTAATAGATGAAATTCAGTCCAAGAATTGAACTATTGATGTTGAGTAAGGGTTGAAGTCTAATCAAATAATTCAGGGGGACCCTAATGAGAAGAGCTCATTGGTTTTCACCCACAATGTAAGAGGCTAAGGTTATTTGACTGTCAAACTTAGGCAGAATGTCCGCTGTGTGGACACAAAGGCGCTTGTTCAGCCTTGGGCTGTTAACTGGGCCAGGCTGCTTGCAATGCCTCACCCAACACCCACACTCTGACACTATACCACACGAAAGCTTCAACCTCTACCTCTGTATAGAAGAGACAGCTCATTGCGAATGAAGTGATTAGTGAGCCCAGTTCAACAAAACAAGCCTCTGAATCAAGATCAAGTCCCATAATCATGAAGTTTTACACAGAGAAAAACTGCTCCGCAAGAAGCTACTACCAACCCTACTCCCTTTGTCTTAGTAGCCATGGTAGAATGGCAAATGAAGGACTGAGGGGAAGGGAACAATTTATGTTAACAAAGGTTCTCACTTCTGCAAAGGCGGTATTATCTCCGCTCAAAGATGAGAAAACTGATGCTAAGAGTGACTTAGTACCAGAGTCACTTTATCCATCAAATAACAGAGCCAATATGATCCAGGACTGTTTGGCACCAAGCCCCTTGTGATTTCCACTAGACCAAGCTGTTTCTGCATAATCTACCATTTGGGGAAGATAAGCTCAAAGGGATTTGCTCTCTGGAGATCAGCTGGCAAGGAACACTGTTCTTATGTTAGGTCAACAACCTGGAAAGAGATTATTAAACAAGTTGTCATTAAACTTCTCTACATCCATCAGTGCTTTAAATTTCCTAAATGTACTGATATGGAATGTACTTTACAACTCGGTTCTTAGCTTTGAGGATTAATATACTTAAATGTAGAAGAAAGCTACAACTATAGAATCAACTGAAGTTCCTGAAAATAAAAGACTTATTTGGCAATATTTATCAAAATTTCAAACCTGCATATCTTTAGAGCAAGTATACTTCTAGGAGTTTATCCTAGATATATGTATGAAAGTGAAAAATTTATACATTCACGAAAACATCACCACAGGCTTGTCTGTAATTGTGAAATACCAGACACAACATAAATGTCCACTGCTAGGAGCCTGATGAAATAAATCATGATACAGGCACTGAATTGCAGAGCATCCCAGCGTTTAGAAGAACTAAGTGTACCTGGTATGTGTGTGCTGATGCCAGACTCTCCAAGATGTAAATTGAAAAGAGCAAGGTAAATACATAATCCCTTTTGTATACCTTTAAAAAATAGGACAGGAGTTGAAGACAATTATTCTTCCTTCTATTCATTTCTATAATATTTAAATTTTCTAACCATGTGCTCAGATTAATATTTAATGTAAACAAACTTTAACTGGGCTGTGGAATCACAGGTCATTTTTTTCCTTCTTTCACACTTCTCTACATTTAAAAAAACTCGTATTATTCCTAAGTGCTAATCTTTAAACCAGAATAAGTACAGGTAAAAGGAGTGCCAATAAAATCTTCTGTGAACAGTATTTTGAACCATCTGCCAAACAGAAGTCAAATACACTTGGAAAAAATACATCCTATTGCTATAAAGTTGAAGCTGCTCCCTTTTGCATCCTGCCCAGCAGGGGAAAGGCGGGTCTTCTTTGTCCTGACATCGAAGGTTTAGGGTACAAAACAAACAGGAAGTGGACGGTGGAGCTGCCTCATTTGAGTCATACCTGAGCGGCAAGCCATTCCAGTGTCCGACAAGAAGTGCTTCCATTCTTTCTTGCCATATGCCTCTGCCAGTACCTCTGGAGCCATCATCTTGGTGCCATGGCTTGCCCTGATTTTGGAAGAGGATGTACATTGCTCATTAATGGTTCCCTTGAATGCCCCTTCCTTTGTCATTGGACTGTTGATCCCTGTTGCCACTGGAGCTAACAAATACGTATATTTTTTCTGTTTTCAACTAGGTGCCTCCCTGTTTAGGATTCTGTAAAGCATTTCTATGGACAGCTGTAGCACTTCACCACTTTAATCCACCAAGTAGCAGGTGATTAGGAGATGCTCATTCTGAGGTTATCACTGGATAAGATACCACCCTTTTTTAGAGAAGTTGTCATTTAACTATACAAATAAGATGAACATACCTGGAACAATTAGAAAACAACCATGTGGATTAGTGGGAAGCTGGTTCTGGCAGCACTAGAGAAAGAGGAGTAGGTACTAGAGTCAACGCATGAGTCCACCGGGGCCACAGGAGGCACAAGAAGCACCTGGCACCCACAGGTGGATGACTGTGAGCACGCAGGACTGTGAAGACAAGATGAGGAGCAACCTCCCTACTCAAGGATACAGCGTGGCTAAAACCACATGGGGAAATCAAAGAGGAATGTGGAAAAACAGAGCAACATGACAAGAAAGTAAGTAGGCATTTTCTGTGTTCAAAATACTGCTTTTGCATCAGTTAGGTCCAGCTAAGAGAATCCTACGCTATAGAGAAATATGGTAGTTTCCCCTTATCTAGTTTTGCTCTCCCACAGTTTCAGTTACCTGTGGTCAACCTGGGTTGAACGATACTAAGGGCATAGTTCCAGAAACAAACAATTCATAAGTTTTAAACTGCATACCATTCTGAGTTCTACTGTTATATTTTATATTTTCTTACTCTATCTACTAAACTTTATTGTAGGAAAAGACATAGTACATATAGGGATATGTACTATCCGTGATTTCAAGCAACCACTGGGGGTTTTGGAAGATAATCTCCAAGGATAAGGAGGGACTACTGTAGTTGAAATGTTAATGTAGTTTATTATGAGAAATTATAATGATTGAGAGTATTATTCTCTTGGTGTTATAATGTGGTAACAAAATAATATGAAGGAAAAAAGAAAGAAAATAAGAAAAGCAAATGGGGGAAAATCACAAATGGGCTCCCTTTTATAAAGCGGTTAACATTTTAGAAAGCTATATGTAAAGATCAAAGGATCCTGAATGGGAAATATGATCAGAAAAGGAATCTACTATATTGGTTGAAAGAAAGCATCAAGGAGGTATGCTAATAAATTCAGGAGAAACTAAAGGTTAGCCAGGACTTGGATGGAGAGAGACAGACCTTGTAGGAGGGGTACTGGGACAAGGACAGACACACAGAACAGAGAGAGAAAGAAACAAAGTTGTAGAAAACTTTTCATTCTTTTAACTGTGGTTGAAGATAGCCAAGAACACTGTAAGAATCTGACAGTAAAGTTAAAGGTCAAAGACAAAGCTGCATTTACACGTACCCTATCTGTCAAGAAAGGCATATCTGTACCCTATATGCCTAAGAAATAAACATGGAAACAAACTACAAAATACCAAAGGTGGGGCTACACCTGCTGTAGTTAGATGAGCCTTAGGGGAAGGTCTGGGGGAAAATGTGAAGGGTGTTTACATCATGCAAAAAGAATGATGCATCAACAGAGTATATATTAGGGGCCTGGGAGTTCTCTCCTTTGATTCTGATCCTGTTTGTATATGTAATAAATGATATAGCTTCATGGCCATGTTGACTTTCCTGTATTATTAGTACAGGAAAAAAAAACAGATGCTCCCTCCCTGGTGCCCTGTGAGAGACAGAGCAGTGACAGCAGCTGCTTCTGGACTGCTTATCATACCCTTAGCAACAGTTGAGAGGCTGGGCCCACTCAGAGAGGAGAGAAGTAAAAAAGTCAGCCTGGAGTGTGGGAGGAGGAAGAGGTTGATGAGACTTGGAACAGTCCAGAAAAACTTCCAAAAGGAGCTAGGACACAACATGACCCCCGCATGACAGGGTCAAATTTGGATAAATGGAGAAAGAGAGGGTGGAGGGTATAGACCACCAACCCCTACCCAATACCCATTCTTTCTTCCTTAACAAAAATAACCCCAATTTTATTTTAGGCAGCTACATACTCAGCTAAAACAGTGTAATTCCTGGGCTCTTTTGCCAGAAGGAGTGGTCAATGAGATGTAGCAAGTTGTAAACTTTCTATTGTATGTCCTACAAATATTTCTAATGAGGTAAACTTAAAGGAACTAGACCTTTAAATCTAATGCTCACAAATTCATATTTAAATCGTTCAAACAATTCATACAAAGACATGCAGGCAGACAATCTGTCATCTGATTAATTAAAATATTTGTATTTAACCCATACTGTAAGGGTCATACGCCACTCAGTAATAAAGTGTCTCAGAGAAGATACAGTTTTGACTTCACAACTAAGTTTTATTACCTGAGAACAGTGCCATTATCTGCAAGTTTAAGGAAGTTCCCATCTTCTAGATCCAATGCCAAACCTTTGCAACTGAAATAGGAAAGCTTGATTATCAATCGATTCATATATTTAGCTAACCTAAGAAATGACAACCTATATTTTCCAAACATCATAATGCTAAAAAGGTATTCTCCCACCCAGGGGAATGGTATGTTAATCACACAATTAAGAATATCTAAGAACCGTAAAATTAAATATCTATCACTGAGCAGGTATAAAAGGAAAATTGTTATGTAGGCAAATAAGGACAGCATATTCAGTTTATAAAATCTTCAGGCTTTTCAAAAGATAAATCTAAAACTCAGAAGAGAAAAAAAGAACCTGAACATCATCCTATGACTTTGTTAAAACGTACAAATGTTTTCCACTGAACACACACACACACACACACACACACACACACACTTATATTCTACAAGTTAAGCACTTCGCCAGTCTTTCCTACACTCTAGAATTCGTCTCATTTTAGGTCAGGTTACAAGAACTTGCTCTCTGGACAAGGCATATTATTGAAAACCACTAAAAGAAAGTCAAATACTAAGTTTTATCTCCTTTACTGTAAGAGACTTGTGGGATTTGGGGAGAAAGGTGAGTACAGATTCATTATTATGAATAATAAAAGCAAAGTGGTATAATGGCTACCAAATACCAAGGGAATTAAACAAAAAATGACAGGGTACTTTAGAAGGATTATCTACTTTTGTTCAGGGTAAAATTTCCAGAGTCAGTAATTTAATATAGTAACATGTTACTGTTTCTTCCTTTTACAAAAATGATACATCAAAAAAGACTAACCAAATATCAAAAGAATGTATACTAGATCAACATAATGTAGGTATTTTTCATGTGGTTTAGGATTGTTGTTGATTTTATTTATTTATTTATTTTTGGACACAGGATCTCACTCTCTACCCCAGGTTGGAATGCAGTGGTATGATCAACAGCTCACGGCAGCCTGGACCTCCTGGGTCCGGGCAATCCTCCCACCTCAGTCTCTCCAGTAGCTGGGAATACAGGCATGTGCCACCACACCTGGCTAATTATTTTTTATTTTTTATAGAGTTGGGGTTTTGTCATGTTGCCCAGACTGGTCTCCAACTCCTAGACTCAAGCAATCTGCCCACCTCAGCCTCCCAAAGTGCTGGGATTACAGATGTGCCACCACGCCTGCCTGGCCTGATTTTAAACTGAACAATTTAAAGTGGCTTAGGATATTTGTTTGTTTTGTTATCTAAATGAGGAAGACAAAGGAAGCTTTGGGAAGTTGGGAGTCCTAACCCAGGAAGGGAGTCTTAAGAATGTTGATCTAAATGACAGAAAACCAATGGTCTTAATTCAGACTTACTCAAAATGTGATGATTCCTCCTTTTCTCTTACAGTTTTTAAAGGATAGTAAGCCAAACCTTTTTCTTAAAGACGTAAATTTTAGAAACAGTTCTCACTAACCTCTGAAGCTATTATGATAAACTTAAGCTATGCGAAAATATCCAAATTAGTCACATAAGGTCTGAGCTTATTTTCACATTTAATTAGGCAAGTCTAATTTTTTAGTGTTTAAAGTGTTTAAAGCAGAAAACACTTTAATTCATTAAATAAAAAACTTTTAATATAGAAGGCATGAGTCCTTTGACTCAATTTTACATTTCACATTCTGTCTTCATAGAAGAGAAAGCATTACAGTTTTATCAGTAACAATTAGAACCACAGGAGATGTACAGACTTAAAAAACAACAACAACAACAAAAAAGAACTTACCAGAAATCCCAATCCTCTGGGGTCACACTGAGCAATTCCTTATCGTACCCTTTCTCCTTAACTAGGAACTGGGCAAAGCTATTATAAATGAGCTGCAAATAAGGGGAAGAAAAACAGATTAAATGTAACACCCACTACTCATTCTTAATGTTACAGACCTAAAACCCTAATGGAATTGCTGATGGGGGCAAGTAGGAGGAAGGAAATATCTGTAATTGTGAAGTTCTGCAGTTTAATTCTTCACAAGCAATTTAACAACTCCTGCATGCCCCAGGTAGCTGTCCCGTTCAAAATTATACCATCGGCATAGAATTATACAACCAAAGACAATTATTAACCCTACTCCTGAATTCTATTGGGTTGGAGATCATAATTTAAGACTTGACAAAGCTTTTTAAACTTATTTAATACATCACTAAGATAATAAATATGCTGACCACTCTATCCATCCATCCTTGGTCCATTCTGGCCAGAAAAGCCCCAGGTTAAGGAAATCTCAGAGTGAAATACATATGGGGACCAGGCAGGTGATCTAAACAAGTCAGGACGCCTCTATCAGATGTAGGAAATCATTCTTGTTTCTCCACGCATACATACACAAAAACCATTAAAAAAAAATACCTAAAGAAAAAAGACAAAGAGAGCCTCCGGAAGCAAGTACAATAATTACAATAATAAATACTCTGTTGATTGCTGACAGATCTTATTTCTTAACAACAAAAAATGCTAGGTTTTTGAGTAAAATATCTGGTTTTTAAGTGCTGGTTAACTTTAAAAGAACTGCACATACCAAACAAAAAGTGCACAAAAGGTAGATGGCCCAACCTTGTTCTACCTCGAAGTGTTCTTTGGCCAGTGTCGGGTACACTTGAGCCTGAGCAGAACAGAGGTCTGAGTCAACCTGCACAGTGTCCAAAAGGACACACTGAACAATTTGACCCTTCTTCTATAGATATTAACCCATGACAGGTTTTGATAACATGTCATACTCTTAGGGAGAAGATGGAGTCAGAGGAATGGGGGAAATCTCTCCTGGGTGGTGAGATTTACACTGATACTTAGATGTAGCAGTTTGCTGGGTGAATGCAGAGGGAATGGGGGGTGACTCAGGTTCAGAAACTGAGGGACCTGCACACAGCTGGAGTAGCGGTATCAGGGTCTGAGCGTAAGGATATGAGCATGGGGAAAGCAAAGGCTCCTTGTCAAATGTCAAATTGAGTTGCTCCCTGTCATAAAGCTAATTAAAATTACTACACATGTACTTCCATCCAGTGTAATGTGACCTTACCCAGGTCAACTGTTAATCGACCCACATTATGTTAACACTACATATCAACAGTTCTCAACCCTGATGGTGATTCAGAACCATAGGTGACACTTCTTAAAACTACCCAGAGTTTCCAAGTGTACAGGGTAGAGGGCCCCCTCTGAAGCACAGAGAACACTGAAAACCACTGACCTGTGTGTTTGACAGATTTTCATTTACTTATTAAAAGGAAAAAAACAATAAAAAATACACTGAGTCACTCTGTGGTACAAAGTACTATGGACAATAAAAAGTCCACATCATGATCCTGCTTATAAGACACCAGTGCCGCAGGGCTAACAGATGTGAAGTGCTTAGAGCAGAGCCTGGCACACCAGCAAATCCAATTTAAGTATTTGCTATTATTATGTCATATGCTGCTGCTAAAAACAAAATAAAACAAAAAACAGAAAACAAAAACAATGCCCTGACGTGTAGTGCTTGCCCATCTCCACGATGTAAATATTCCCACCATGGCCTGTTTCAAGCCACCAATAGCAGTTTACCTGCTTGCACAATTCCTGAATAGTTAACAACTAGCTTTCACAAGCCCCTAAGAGTCAGCTATTGTACACCTTAGATTTGCCTCTGGTTGAGGCACTTTTGAGTTTCTCCAGTTATCCAAGCGATTAGTCTACGATATGCGCATGTGATTCTGAAACACTCGAAATCTCCTGGAACGAAGGAGCCCTTTCCATCAGAGATGCCAACAGGGACAGCCACAGCTGTGTTCCTTACCTTGTGGAGGAGATTTTTATGTAACAGGAGAGAAGGGGGCCAATGGACAAGGAGAGAAGCAGAGAAAAGCAGTGTGAAGAAAAGCAGGGGCATCTGTACTCTGAAACCCCTGGTCTAAGCAGAAGGCTTCTTGCAGTTTGTCCTTAGTGTACGCTGAGACTCTCTAGAAACCTTCATGGCACAGGGCTCTCTAAGACATTCCTCTCCCAGCCTTAGCTGTCACCACCTCACAGTCTCTCAGGACTAATAATAATACATACTCTACAGCAGTTGCCAATTGGTACCCTGTGGTCCATATGCAGCCTACAAATTATGTTTGGTTCCCACTTAAGGTTGCCAGATAAAATTTTAAAATGCCTAGGTAAATGTGACTTTCAAATAAACAAAAAATACTTTTTTTTGGTATAAGCATGTCCTATGCAATATTTGGGACCCTACTCTCCCACTCACACATTTACGTTAACTGACTGGCATCAGACTTCTGAGTCTGCAACCTTAGGAGAAACCACGTGTCATCCTCTCTTCTACAATGCCTTTCCGAGGCCTCATGTGAATGCCTACAAAACTGAAAGGAAAGGCACTCGCAGCTCTCTATGATGCAGCCCCCACTGACTTCTCCACCATCTTCTCCTGAAACTTGCCACCTTTTGCTTGCACCCAGCAGTTCCTGGTGCTGTTGCTCACCTCGAGGTCCTGGCGTTTATTATAACTCCTGTGGGTGAAGCACTCCTCTCCACCTCCTCACCTGCCAGCTCCAGGCATTCCCTCTGTGTTTTAGGGCACCATACAGACAGCAAGGTGGGAAGAAGCAGAAATCCACAGCCAGACTACCTTGTTCGGTTGCCCTGGATACACCTTCTTTCTGTGCCTCGTTGTTCAATGCTCTCTTAACGGTGGCTGTGGTGATGATATCTACCTCACAGGGACGTTGTAAGGATTAAATCCATTCATAGAAGCAGCATGCTTATTAGAATTATGGCTGTATCATATTCTGTTATTAAAATACTGATTATCTATTCAGTCTATTTATTGAGCCCAGTATGTGCCCAGTACTAAGTCTGGCACATAGAACACACAAGAAACTGTCACAGATACTGATGGAGCTCTAGGGGAAGTCCAACAAGTAAACAGAAAGTGTTAATATCATGTCGTATGTGCTCTGAGGAATGAAGAAGGGTTTTGTGGAAAACTGAAGGTGGGCTTAGAGTGGAAGGGCAAACTTTAGAGCGCCAAAAAAGCTTCCTAAGGGGAACCATGTTAAAGATGAGGCCTGATGGGATGAAGAGCTTTTGTGCAGAGCAAAGAGGCCCTCCAGGCACTGGCAGCGTGCAGCAAGACCCAGGTCATACTACCTACCGCAGGGACCAAGACTAACTCTTCAGCATTTTTGCCTACTGCGTGAGGCTGCCTGGAGGCCTGCGTGTTGATCTCTGTATCCTCAGCTCTAGCATGGTGCTCAGCACACTGTGGGACTTAAAAAAAGATTTTCCACACCAAACATGATCCAAAACTCATAGGCTACCGTTTTCAAGCTTTAAATATCACTATTCTCCAGGTTTGCAGTTAAAAAAAACTCTTGTCTTTCAGAATCTTATATTCTGAAATTTTATGATCACCTATGGACAACACTAGCTCTAACATGACAGTGGTTTAAAAATATTCCCTCCAAATGAAGGTAACTAAAGAGGAGACACACAAAACTGTGATTCAGGAAGGATTTAAAAGGCACAGAGGGAAGGAAAACATGTATCAAAGACCTAGGGGAAGCAGTGGCCAAAGAATCAAGCAGTAAAAAAGCCTTCTTAATTCTCAGTGTGACTAAGGAAACCAGACCTGGAAGGTAAGAAAGCAGGAAAGTGTAACAGCAGAAAAAGGACATTAAAAAAAAAAAAAAATTAGCATCTGGGCATAGAAAACACACAAGAAATTCCAGCAGCCACTCCTTTTTGACCTTTAACGTGTACCTGAACTAGCGGGTGCAGGGACATCACCATAATGGGGTACAGCCCTGGCTGGATGTCTGCACCAGTGATCTAGAGTTCTACCCATAAACTGAGGGTTCCAAATGGTTTGGGTGGTAACCATAAAAGCAAACACTTGTCTTTGCCAAGGTACTATTCTAAGCATTATACATCTCTTACTCATTTAATCCTTGCAACAATCTTGTGAGGTAAATCCAATTATTAGTTCCATTTTACAGATGGGGAAACTGAGAAGCAGCACAGGTTAAGTAACTTGCTCAAAGTCACAGAGCTAGTAACAGCGGAGATGGTGTCCTATGTTAGGCAGTCTGGCTGAGGAGTCCTCCCTTTCACTACTGTACTCATAACCAGCTCTTTTTCTGTCTGGATGCTTAGATCTTGGTCTAAAAAAATCTGGTAACTTTTCAAAATTAGCTTCCTTGGGAATTGGGAAACCAAAGGAATAGTGAAGGGAGGGCAATTAATTTGAGAGTACAGGTCTGGAAGCATGCATACTCCATGTCCCCCTCCCTCAGGGCACAGTGAGGACCTAAACTTTGCAGGCTGTTGGTAGGACTGCAATGTATTCAAAGTGCACGGAGCACGCACTCGATGCGCAATAAATATTTATTTTCTTCTCTTGACAAAAGGTAAAATGAGGGCTAAGATCTTAATGACTTCTCAACTAGTGTTCCGTCCAATACACTACGCTATATACTACGCATCTCTCCCAGATTGCAGTTTAAACACTGATGGGTGGTTGATCGTGCAAATTGAAAAATGCAGCCAAGAAAAATGCAAGTCCCAAATCAAGTGGCTGTGTCCACAATCAGCTTGTGTCCAGAAAGACATGCAGAGAAGTTTCACGACATGGGATCTTCAAGGACAGCCCCAGTGCTCCTGACCCCGCCCCTCCTCTGCTCTAGAAACCGATTCCCCAGCACGATCTTGCGCAGTTTGCCCCTCCTTCGTTCTTCCCTACCCCTCTCAACGTTAGCTAATGGCTGAGCTAAATGTGCCGGTCCCCAGGGCACTAGCGCGGAGCGGAGGCTGCACACTTCCGCCCCGTCTCGCCGCTGGAGGCCTCGCTCTGCGGAAAGACTCGGCGGCCGCAGGCCCCCGACAGCGCCCGCCGCTGCCCAAGCCTGGAAGAAACTCAAGCCCCAGCCGCCATGGAGGTTGCGCGCAGTGCGCCCCGGGGAGCCCGCGCCACTCACCGGGGCGCTCTCGGGCAGGTTGTAGCGACACAGAGTGTGGTCCAGGTCGAATCCGACCACGTCGCAGGCGGCCAGGGAGAAGTGCTGAGCCATGGCCGCGCGGGGAGCACTGAGGAGCCCCTCGGCCGGGGAGGGTGCAAGGAGCTGGCGGGCGGGACGCTGCGGGACAGGACCGGGTCGGACGCGGCGGGGCGGGGCTGCGGCTGTCAGGGCACCGGCGCGGCAGCCTCTCCCGCCTCCCGCGCCCTGCAGCACCGCCCCTGGATACGCTTAGCCCCCGCCCCTCGCGCGGCCGGCGTTCTGCGCCGCCGTCCGGAGTCAGGTAGTCAGCTCGCGTCCTATTGCTACCCCATCGCCGGCGACCTCGCTCTGTCCCGCAAGCCTGGGAACCCAGAAGGCAATAGGGGTCCAGGAGCGGTGCCGCTGCTGCACAGCTGAGACCTGTAGGCACTTAGCCCTTCCTACCACAAAATTAACCGGGACTCTCCATCGCCTTCAGGGCGCCTCGGAAACCAGGAGATCCTGAGGTTAGATTTGACCTTTTACCCCTGTGTGCGGAATAGTGTAAGATCATGGAAAAAATTCATCCTCTAATATCCCTCTGACCCAGTTAGCCTGCAATTTGGAAGGTCTTTTCGCCCACGTGATCTTTGACAGTGGTTTAAACCAAAAACTTTGTATTCCTTGGTTTCCTAAGTGTAAAATGAGAGAGAGACCTTTCACCATTTCATACCCTGGAGTGCGTTAGAAAATAAATGTATCAGACCTTGTGAAGAACCATTTTGCAAGATGATACTGGTTATGGAAACCAATATTGGTTATTACTTGATCATCCTATTTTGTTATTGTAATGAAGAATTTTCTATGAAAGGACATCAGACACTTCATAGAAATATATAGAGTATGCTACAGAAAAAGAAAACTTTTGTAAACCGGGTTTAAGGTTTATAGAGCACAAAATGATTTGAGTGACATTTGCTTAATTCTCTCAAAAACTGTATAACTACTACCGTTTTAGATGCAGAGAAAGTTAATCCATTACATACAATGTATGCCTTAGGGCATTTAATTCTCTTCTGGATTTCCTGATGTGAAGGACTAGCACTTTGAGATCTTTATTACATAGTGCCTCATTTTAAAAAGAAAATACAAATCTATTATGTTTATATTGCTTCAGTTTTAAATTTAAAGGAACAGTGTGTCTAATGGGACAAATCAATAGTCGTGACATAATGAAAATATAATTAAGAACTGCATTTAACCCTTTCAAATACTAATCCTTTTGAGGCTAATAGACCAGAGGATTAATTTAGTGCAATAAATAGTGCAATTGAGTAGGAGGACACTTATACCTAGTAGACCCATTTGAATAAAATTGATAACTTGTTCCATTATGATACTTAAAAGCCCCAAACAAATCTCTCTGGAATAGGAAAAGTAAAGAATCTTCAAGAAGATTGAGCTGTTCACTGATGAGTTCAACAACCATGTCTTCGATGTCTGTGAACCAAAAGAGAAAAGGCTGGATTGTTGGAGGAGCTGGAAAAAGCTTGTTGGCCCTGGAGCATTGACCTTGGCATTCTTCTCTGCCCCTTGCAACAGAGTGCTACCGAAGTCAAACTTCCAGGTAGATGCCACGTTGAAGGGCACACGTTTCCTTGGGGAATATCTTGTTTCATGTGGGAGTAGGTGCTTTAGGTGCTTTAGGGACTTCCTTTAGTAATACAAATGTAATAGTACTTTCATTTTAAGAGGGAAGAATAGAAAAGGATTGTTTTTTGTTGACTTAGCCAAAACTTGTCCTTACAAAACCTCTTGAGTGTGCTGAATTGTGAACAGGAAATTGGGGGTGAGGGGAGAGAGGGAACCAGGGCACTCTTAAAGAGAAAAAGACCCCTGGGTGTATAGTCAAGTGGTCCTGGGACTGAATCTTGCCTTTACATGCACATCAATAATCTTATGTACTTGCTAAATAACAAATTATATATATTCTGCATGTTTACACAAACAGTTCTTGTGCTAGAGAGTCCACATCATTTAAACTTTGTGGGAGAATTTTGCAAATGATCCAATCCTAGAGGCTTGTACTTTCTTGAGCCCCACTCACCTTTCCTTTCTACCTCAAACCTCAGTCTGACTCTTCCAGAAATATAGGGGATGGTTCCCTTCTCTTCTCCCATTCCCTACATAACCCTGAGTTTAAATACAAACACACAGTTTAATGGTTTGATAAGGCTTATTTCCAGATAAGGATATTTCATTTTCCCTGTACATTAAACTTCTATCACATTTACTGATAAAATGCCACAGCTCTTGTATTATCAACTACAAGTTCAGTCTTCTACTCAGATACCAATTAATTTCTGTTTCTTTGAGTATCATGGACTGAATTTTGTCCCCCACTCATTCATGTGTTGAAGACCTAACCTACAATGTGTCTGTATTTGACATAGGGCCTTTAAGGAAGTAATTAATGTTAAATAAGGTCATAAGGGTGGAGTCCTAATCCAACAAGATTAACATTCTTATAAGAGGAGGAAGAGACACCAGCATCTGCAAGCACAGAAGGCCATGTGAGGAGCCAGAAAACCACGGCTGTCTGCCTGGCATCATGCCAAGGTAGGCGGATCGCTTGAGGTAAGGAATTCAAGACCGGCTTGGGCAACATAGCGAGACCCGTCTCTACAAAAAATACAAAAATTAGCAGGGTGTGGTGGCAGGCACCTATAGTCCCAGCTATTCTAGGGGCTGGGGTAGGAGGATCGCTGGAACCTGGGAGGAGGAGGTTGCAGTGGGCTGGGATCAGGCCTTCACACTCCAGCCTGGGTGACAGAGTGAGAACCTGTCTAAAAAAATAAAGGGCTGTCTGAAGCCAAGGAGAGTGGCTTCACCGGAAACCAACCCTCACAGCACCTTGATCTTGGACTTTCAGCCTCCAGAACTGTGAGAAAATAATTTTTTGTTGTCTAAACCACCCATTGTGTAGTATTCTGTTAAGGCACGCTGAACCGACTAAGGCAGTTAATAAGGATAGTTGAATCAGTGTTGTGTTAAATGTAGGAAATATTTGCCATTTGAAAGATCTGTAAAGGACATGAACTTGGGTTTATGTTATTTGTTGACTTCTTAAAGTTGGGTACTTTTGCTTATGTGTAACATTAATACCATGCTGTGAAGTTTTAGAAGTTTTAGTTTTTTTCGTTTTCAGTATTTCATGTACTGTTTTTTCTTATACTTGTGAGTCATGTAATAATTTAGAAATATTCAGAAATAGGAAGTTATGTTACAACTGATTTTCTAGAATTGAATTTCGTTATTACAATGAACCTGCTTTTAATTGAGGTGGTACTATAATTTAGCAGTTTTAACCTTAGGTGTGACTTGTGATTAGCTAGTTTAAGCTTTAGACTTCATAATATCTCACCAACTGATCTTTTGTGAATTGATAATACTGTATTTTAACATCTATATTGTAAATATGATTTGCCAAACATTTTGGGAAAGGAAGGAAATGGCCTGTTTCTTTTTTCATTGGTTAAAAATATGCTTTTCTAAATATTCCTAATTAAATATTGTATGTTCAACTTTTTGTATAACCTAAGCCAATCTACATATCTTCTGTGGCACATATAATTTCTTTAAGGGGTAAGAAAAAAGTTCATTTACTAAATTGGAAAAAAATAGGAAAAATATAAGTTTCTAAAAATAAAACTCTATGGCACTTAAATGTTAGCCATTTAGCTACATAGAACCAAATATTTATTTGTAATATTGTGCTGACGCCTTTAGATGGCAGTAGTTCTGCATGAGGAATATTTTTCATTTTTTAAGTAATCTTAAAATCTTTACATTTCTTAATAAAACATACTTCATTTTCTAGTCTCTTGATTTTCTACTCTGCTCTTACCACAAGAAAAAGAAGCCTACTTAGAAATTTCACTGTGTTTTTTATGTGCGTGAATTTATTTTTGATGATAGAGATGTAATGATGGAGGATGTAATGGGACAAAGTCCTTTTAAGTCCACAGTTGGTTCCTTCCAGTGGGTTCTTGGTCTCGCTGACTTTAAGAATGAAGCCACAGACCTTCGCAGTGAGTGTTACAGCTCTTAAAGGTGGCACGGGCCCAAAGAGTGAGCAGAAGCAAGATTTATTGTGAAGAGTGAAATAACAAAGCTTCCACAGCATGGAAGGGGACCCGAGTGGGTTGCTGCTGCTGGCTGGGTTGGCCAGCTTTTATTCCTTTATTTGTCCCCGCACGTGTCCTGCTGATTGGTCCATTTTACAGAGTGCTGATTGGTCCATTTTATAGAGTGCTGATTGGTCTATTTTACAGAGTGCTGATTGTTGTATTTACAATCCCTTAGTTAGACACAGAGTGCTGATTGGTGCATTTTTACAGAGTGCTGATTGGTGCATTTACAATCCTTTAGCTAGACACAGAGTGCTGATTGGTGCATTTACAGTCCTTTAGCTAGACACAGAGCGCTGATTGGTGTGTTTTTACTGAGGACTGATTGGTGCATTTACAATCCTTTAGTTAGACACAGAGTGCTGATTGGTACATTTACAATCCTTTAGCGAGACACAAAAAAATCTCCAAGTCCCCACTTGACCCAGGAAGTCCAGCTGGCTTCACCTCTCAATCTCCCCTCTAAACAGGACACCCCAACTGCTGTTGGGAATTGGACAATGACCGTTCTAGCTACTTCCTGCTGGATAGGGACGAAGAAGGGGCCCTGCAGTTGTAGTGTCCTCCAGAGGGGAACTTTTTAGGCCAGTCAAAGGACCAGCAGGTCAGTATAGGGGTCCTCAGTAGAAGTTGTTAGTTGAGCTCATTTGGGGTTCCATTTGTAAGACCATCTGTAGCTTGCTGGCCTTGATCCTAGAGGAAACAAATTTGACAAGGAGGTTAAAAATAAAGGGCCCGAAGGCGAGTAATACCAAGATGGCTGTCACGGGACCTAGAAAGGGGAGAAGTCATGTCACCCAATTCCAGAGGTTGGTATAAGAGTTTGAAAGGCGTTGTCTGATTTCAGAAGCCTTTTCGGTAAATGCTGGGTGGCATCTCGTATTATCCCTAACTGGTTAGTGTAAAAACAACACTCTTCCCCTAAGAAGCTGCAAAGTCCTCCTTTCTCAGCAGTGAGGAGGTGTAGGCCTTGGTGGTTTTGGAGAGTCTCTGCTGCCAAAGAGGCTATTTGGGATTGTAGTTACTATCCTTACTGGATATATTTTGTTATTTCTTGCAAACTGTCTGAGAAATCCTTTGAGAGTGTGTGGTGGTAGGATCATGAAGTAGATAAACCTGCTATTCCACTTTGTGTAGCAGTGGCCATTTCTAACCCTATAAGTAGGGATATTAGTTGTATGGC